GGCCTAACCCCGCGGGCGGCGCGGCCGCGGGGGGCTCCCGGCAGCGCTCTATCCCTCGGGCGAGCTGCCTCGGGGAGGCCTCGGCGCAGCCCTTGCCGGCGCGCCCCACCGCAGCGGCAAGCGTAGCCCCTCCGCGGCGAGCCCGGCTCAGCAAGGGAAACGCCTAGCGAGGGCCTCGGGGCGATATATTCATGCACGCCGAAGCGTGCACCAAATAAATGACTTTTTGGAGGGGGGGGGAACAACAGCACCACGGCTCCGATAGATGCAGTGGCGCCGCTATGAAAACACCAGGGCTTTAGCTAATCAGGCGCAGTGCGGATTAGGTCAATTAGCCAGTTATTGCGCTTCAGAACGACGCCGATCCTGTGGGCTCAGGAAACGGGGGGGGTTCAAGCAGCAGGAGACCCCTTCCCTTTCCAGCCCAGCAGCACCGACACGAGCCTGGCGCTCGCGCCGTCTGTGTTCGGTGTTTCCCGCGCTGCAGCAGGGTCCGAAGCTTTTAAATCGCCCTAGAAGAAGGATTCGAGTACAGAAAAATCACTGCTGCTGGGATATTAAAGCTGATGGAGGTCATTCGTCGTGCAGGGACGGGGTGGGGAGGGATGGCCAGCAGGAGATTAAAAAGCCCATTAAAAACCAGCCAAGCCCAGTTCGGTTAGTTATCTCAGCCAACGCAGCTCCGCCTGTGCGTGAAAGAAACTCTTCCCTAGGAGACGATTTATGCCTTTAGCAGCAAAACACGCAGTCGGAAAGCGCTGCCGTTGGGGAACCCGGCCGGAGGGGAAGCGAGCCGGGGGGCGAGGAGTCGGCGGAGGGCCCCATCGCGCCGGGCTGCCGCCGTCCGCCTGCACGAGCCCTGTTTGGTGACTGCTAGTATAAAATGAAGGTCACGCGCGGGACGGCTCAGGCCACCCTCGCCTGCCATTCGCCAGCTATCGCTTCGAGAAGAAGCCCCAAATCAAAGCGCAGATCAGCCTGGGCTGAAGCCAGCCAAGTCCCAGCGTAGCAAGGCCCCGGGCTGGGCTGCCCAGGAGACCCCCCGCCAGCGAGGAAGAAAGAAGGTGCACCGCTCTCGCCGCCGCCGCCTTCTCTCTCCGTCTGCTTTGGCTTGAAAAGAAACAGAGCAGGTCTTGATTCTTTAAGAATCAGGTTAAAATACAGTGAGAGGCTTTTCTGTTTCATGAAAGGTCTCCGGGCAATTTTCTTACAGAAAATATTGCATTAACCACCTATCTTGAGGCCTAGAGCTACGCTTTTAAGCATTCTGTGATTCTGTGATCTATAAAGGCAAGGAGGATTTCAGGATATCCTGAGACAGCCCTTCTTATCTGTCTGCCCGTTCCCAGAGAGCAGTGCCAGAGCGGTGACTACGAGACATAAATCCCTCCTACGTGACTTAAACCATCCTTCAGTTTTCCAACAGGTCAATGGGAAAACGACTCAGAGCTAGTAGTATTTGCGGGGGACTTGAAGATGCTTCCAAACATGGAGTTACATAAAGGCAAAGGATTAAGAATACACGAGCAAATTTAATCCACAACCCGGCATTGCCCCTGCTAGCTAGCGGACAAAACGTGCGAGAAGTCTTTGACCATGCACTCAAAGCTAATGCCCATCAGAGGTGGCTCCCAAGGCTCCTTTGCATAAGATGCCTTCGAGGAACAGTTCTCCTGAATTGTCGGGACTGATAACGTTTTTGGAACCATCTTACAGCTTTCCCCGCGCAGTCCGCGTGCCCGGATCAGCCTGCAGAGGTGTCAGCTGCAGCCAGCGGATTCACCGAGCTGCGCCACGAGTTGCCAGCGCAGGGGAAAGCCACCGCGTAACGGGTGACCAGTGAGTTCACAGCAGCTCACTTGTAGGAAGCTTTATTATAGAGAAAAACAGTAGCAATGGGCCAGCTGGTGGGAACTACTGCGCTTTTGCACTTTGCGAGGTCCTTGAGCTCATAACCAGAGTCACCAGCTTTCTTTTTTCCCCCCATGTCTCCAAGCAACGTCCTAAATGGGGAAAAAAGACCTGTACTCCCAAAATACATGATTTGTGCCAAGCTGAGCAGTTGCTGGGAGTAAGATGAGAGCGTTAGCCCATTTCCATGAGCAGTCATTATCGCTGAGCTGGTGGGAGGGAAGGTAGCAATCTAATATACTTCGCCTGTGCATTATCATTAACGAAGGTTAGTGCAGAACTTGTTTACGAGGACGAACTGCAGGAGCCTGGCTGGCTGGAAGGGACTTCGGGGAGCCGGGCTCCCGAGCTGGCGCTGCGGGGCAGGTATCCAAGAGTAAAGGTAGTTTGGGGGTGGGGGGGAGGGTTTTTTTTTTTAATGTTTTTTGCTTTAACACTGCATAAGCCTCTATCTCAGTTAAGCCTGACCAACGTGGGATTGGAGATGCTGCTGTTGCAGCCCCTCCCAGCAGTTTTGGCCTCTGCATTTTCTGCCCTCTGCTCTCTAACTCTGCAGAAAAGACAACTGTTTCACCTGTGGCTTAGCTTACGGTTTTACATAAAATTGAAAACCAAATTTAATAGAGCTAGAAAAGATGCAGTCTGCTCACCACCGCCCTTTAATTATTTGTGCAATATTCTAAATTCATTCCCCAGGTTTTCTGCCTGCTAATAGCTTATTGATTCAGTAGCTTCTCTGCAACCAGACATCCTTATTTCCCATTTTATTAATTCACTCTGAGGAGAAAATAAACCTATGGCGTCTATAGGGCAGCGCTCAGGAAGGGTTTCCCGAGTTGCTTGTGCCAGAGCTGCTGGAGGATCTGGCTGAAGGAGCAGGCGCCGGCGCGGCTCTTCCCTAACTGCTGCACACGGCATCCCGCGGTGGGTTGTTAGTGGAAACAGATACAGGGTCTGAGCTTTGCAAAGGAGAAGCGCAGGGCCAGGGTAAAAAAAAAATATATATAATACTAAATAAAAATCAATCTGCAGCTGCCAGTTCGCCCGCTGCAGATCTGGCCCGTGTGTTTATCACTTTTATTCTCGGGATGCCACGCGAGGCCGCCCTATTTCTGGCTCTCGCACTGGGTTATCGCGCTGCCGGCAGTGGTTTCCCTCTCCGGGGGAAACCCAAGCTCCCCTCGGCTTCGCGCTGCCCGTGGCGGAGCTGACGTGCGATCAGTATTTGGTATAAGCAGCGGCCTGAGGCCTCTGCCGGCGCCGGCCCACGAGCGCTAGAGGCGGGGAAAACGGGGGCGGGACCGCCCCCGG